GATATATATATAATTCCGAAACTACCAAATAAACGACATGAGAACGAACTGCGATAAAGTACAAGAAAAATAAGTCAAAGCCGACGGTTTAGAGTTCAGATCATATATATATATATACGTATACGTATACATATTATATACATATACATGCATATATATATATATATATATATATATATATATATATACGCATACGTGTACGTATACATATACGTATACGTATACATATACATATACATACTTATACATATGCATATATATATATATATATATATATGAATGCAAAGGAAAACATACACAAGTATTCATACAGCCCTTAACGCGTTAATAAAAGAAAACAGCAAGTGTCGACGTACCTTGCCTGCAACAGCCTGTCTCTCCTGCAACTCTTTCTTGGCATCACTCCCCAGATACGGCTTCAAATCCGAGAACAAGAACACGCACTTGCACAGTGTGGACGGTATATTCGAGCGGCAGACTTCTTCCACCACGTCGTCATGGCAACGCGAGAACAGTGTCAACCCCGACAGCAGATTTTGACACCTGTCACTGCGCATGTATGTGAGAAGGGCTTCTGCCGCATCCTGTTTCTCCTTGCCATGGCCCAGTCTTTTTACTTCCAAGTCCAGGTGTTTGGCCGCCTAAACGGGTCGGTTACATGGAGTTTAAAGTTTACGTTTGGATTTAGGGTTTACGTTGTGGCCTTTTAGGGTTTACGTTGTGGCCTTTTAGGGTTCACGGTTTTAGCATTTAAATCCAATTTCCGAATTATTGAGTTTGGAGGTGTGGATCCCATCAGATACGGATAAGCGAACGAGGAGGTCTACGAGTCTACGCTCTAAAGATGACGACGATTGCATGCGCACAACCAAGCACATCGTGGCAATTCATCTGGTGTGCAAGGGTGTAGGGTTTTGTATTCTAGGGTTATACCAACACTGCCATTATGTAGTTATGTAACTTATCTGGTGTGCAAGGGTGTATAATTTTTGTATTCTAAAGTCATACCACCACTGTGCCTGGTTGGCACGTAATAGCATCGTAATATAGTAACTTACCTGGTATGCAAGGGTGTAGGTTTCCCCAAACCTCTCGAGCACCGTAGTACAGTAACATACCTAATGTACAAAATTTTAGGTTTCCCCAAACTTCTCGAGCACCGTAGTATAGTGACTTACCTAATGTACAAAAGTTTAGGTTTCCCCAAACTTCTCGAGCACCGTAGTACAGTTACTTAACTAATGTACAAAAGTTTAGGTTTCCCCAAACTTCTCGAGCACCGCAGTATAGTGACTTACCAAATGTACAAAAGTTTAGGTTTCCCCAAACTTCTCGAGCAACGTAGCACAGTTACTTAACTAATGTACAAAAGTTTAGGTTTCCCCAAACTTCTCGAGCACCGTAGTACAGTGACTTAACCATTGTACAAAAGTTTAGGTTTCCCCGAACCTCTCGAGCACCGTAGTACAGTAACTTACCTGGTGTGCAAGGGTGTAGGTTTCCCCAAACCTCTCGGTGATTCGGTCCAGGGCTGTGTTGCCAAAGCATTCCTCAAACGCAGGCAGTAGCTGTGCAAAGATCTCATCGCGCCCCTGATTTGCAGATGCAAACGCCAGTGTTATCGGAATGTCGTAAATTGACGTGTAGATGTCGTAAACTAAGTACTTAGATTGATATGGCTCGCATGAGACGTCTCTACGACATCTCAGCAGTGTCACTCAACCGCTACAGTGACAGATGAGAGCGGGTGAGTGGTGCCGGCTGAAGCACTAGAGCGCGTGAGGTTCTGATACTGTGGCACGTTAGACTTTACTCGCCCCACTCGGAAAGCCTTGAATGAAAAGAATGTTTTTAAAGCTATTGCACTGGTCGCACTGGTTATAGCGAGCTGATCGCATAATATTAAATATGCACGCATGTCGTAAATTCAAAACGTACATCGGTCGTAAATTCTCAATAGACGATGATTTATTACGTTGTTTCTCACCACACTTGCAAAGCTCTCAATGAAAGGGGCAGAGGGACTCTGGTAACAGGGGTCTTGGGGCTATAGGTTTAGGGTTTAGGGTTTAGGGGTTTGAGGTTTATCCCTCCATACAGTTCGTACGTACAGACACTGTGCAGCCTCAAGCGATAAGCAATCAGTAAGTACACTCGCGATGAATTGTGTGCACACGTGTACAGAGATGTGCCTATAACACCGTTCCGCGCTTACAGTTGTATACAAATCCGTGTGCAAAGAATCTACCTTATACTGGGATTTAAAGCTCATGCCATTTAGAAGACAGATCTCATGGCCTGACTACGCAAACCACGATGTGTTACTCTGAATAAACTTACCTACGAACTAAACTAAGTTGAGAGATAAACCACATACAGAACACAGGATAAACACAACCGTAAATGGCTGCACATACCATGGTATACTACTACTGGGAACAAACTCACCTCTGCACTGCTGCTGAGAACTAGCTGTCGGAACAGACTCTTGATGTCATGGATTTGCTCATCCGTACTGCAAAGGGTGGGCAACAGAGACTAGTTATACTGTGCCTACATCAGCGAGTGTTAATACCGAAATGATGATAATCACGTACAGGTAATAAACACGTCGTACAATTCTGATGGAGGGTGTGTTGACTATCGTACAAGTGAATGTATATATATATATATATATATATATATGTATGTATGTATGTATGTATA